TTGGCTTAACCCGCCTACTTGTATGTATTTGTTTTAGTTTGACTGCCTTTATTTCTGTTTGCCATTTATTTTCTGGGCCTGCGGCCTCTGGCCGGCTACGCCTCTTTGAAGTTATACCATGTCATGTCATGCTTTTGTATGAGAAACGCATCCCGTGCTATGATATGGCTGGTTCCAACCCCAGATGATGCCGGGGATGCCAGTCTGTGCCCCAGCCGAACCCCAACCCAGAAGGCTGACATGGGGTCGCGCGCGCGCGCGCCAGAGGCCGCAGAAACAGCAGCCCAAAAAGAACAGCCCGCAAGCCAGCCCAGAAACGCAAAAGCAACAAAACACCGTAAATAGCAGTGTTTTGTGGCTGGGGTCGCGCGCGCGCGCGCCAAAAGGCCCGAAAACCAACGCGAAAAAAGCAAGGACCGCGCAGCACGCGAGCCAGCCACAGCAAAAGCAAAACGGACAGAACAACAGCCCACCGCTCAGCACAGCAGTTTTTGACAGTATTTACAGCGTTTTGTAGAGCGAGGACCCAGCATCGCCGGCATGCCCGGCAGCGCTTGGCGCCAAAATGCGCGAAAATGAGCCTCGCTTATATCCCTCCGATACCTTCTAAAAAACAGTGCTTTTTGGGTTGAGAGGCTTTTTGGAAGGAAGTCTGGATGATGCAGACCAAGCCCCGCTGAAGCATCACCCAGGCCCAACCCCACACCCTGATGATGTCAGCCACATGGCCTAAACCCTGCATATACGCGATGTTTTGCGAGGGTTTCCCACAGGCAAGCAAAACCGCAAGCCCGAGCTGGTGATGCAGAGGTGCCGGACTTAGGCAGCGCATCACGACCAAGTGGCGAGGGTCGGCGGCACCAGGGTGCACCCCCTATAATTAGCTAAAGCTAGCAGGCTAATTGCCTAGCGGCGACATGCTACCCCAAGGAGGCGTAGCCGGATTAACCAGGCTCCCGCCTGCTGCCGCCGACCCTCGGCGCATGAAGGGAAAAGTCGTAAGGACCGGTCCTGAAACACGTCCGCAAACCCAGGGACCACTTATAAGATCCTCTACGACCACAAACAAGGATTAACGGAAAAGTCAGAAATATTGCAGCTAGTCCGTTAATTACCGCTTGGGACTGGCCGTGCTGGGACCGGTCCCAGGACCGGTCCGGTCCTGGGATTGGTCAGACTGTCCAAGTCCGAGTCCTGGTGTGACCGCTGGTGTCGCACCAGCTCAACGTGACTTGGGGCGCAAACCGGCCCGTGCGGTCATTGACGGACGAGCTGCCATCTGTCTGACTTTTCCGTTAATCCTTGTGGTAGTAGAGGCTCCCTGGATCTATTCTGCAAGAGTCCAATACGTCGAGTCAAACCGCGACCAGCCTGGACAGGGTCCCAAATCCCGTAGGGTCCCAGGACCAGTCCCAGGACTGGTCCCAGGTCCTGGGAATCCACTTGGTTCCAATCACTTCCAGTTGCATCCCACGCCGGTCCCCTCTGCAGGAGGCTGGGACGGGAGGCAGAGGGTTTCTCTTTTTTGTTTTTGTCTTTCTTTGTTTCTTTGTGTATTTGTTGCTTTGTGTCTTTCCTGGCGTGCTTGGTTGCCTTGCCTCGCGTTGCGTTGCGTTGCTTTCCTTTCCTTCCCTTGGCTTGGCTTGCTTGTTTTGCTTGCATGCTTGTTTGTATGTTTGTTTGATTGATTGACTGATTGTCGGTCTGTCTGTCTGTCTGTCTGTCTGTCCGTCCGTCTGTTTTTCTGTCTGTCTGTCTGTGCTTGCGTGTTCCATCTGCCCGTCTGTCTGTACTGTCCTGTCCTGTCCTGTCCTGTCCTGTCCTGTCCTGTCCTGTCCTGTCCTGTCCCTGTCCATCTGTTTGTTTGTTTGTTTGTTTGTTCGTTTGTGTGGGTTGTTGCGATTGCATGTGTGGTTGTATGTATAGTATATAGTTTGTTCAATTGCAGCTAGCTTTCTTGCCGTCATGTTGGCGATCTGCTTTTGGCTTGGTGTGTAAGCTCCAAAGCGTCTCAACACCCTTGTGAAACACGGACATGGAGTCCTATGTATTTTGTAAGCCCTTTGGCGGGCAGGTATGCTGCCAATCCAGTAAGCTTTGTGTGATCAAGGCGCACCCTTTACCGTCGCCTCGTTGTCTTTTTGTGCAGAGTGCAGCTTGCGCTAGGAGGACATGTTGTTTTCAACGGATCTTCCAGTTGATTGACTAGTCACAAGCCCAAAAGATGAGTGCTCTTGCACTGTCTAGCCATTGCATGTTGCTTGGCGGTTACGGCAACTTAAACCCTTTTTGAGTACTGTTCGTGCAGTTTTTGTCCATTGTGCTAATTTCGGTGCGGCTCTGCCCCTCTGCAAGCTTGATGCACTGGGCGTCCGGAGCACTAGCTTTCTTTCAAAAAGGGGTTCTCTGCGCCAAGCCGTGTTCGCTTGTTCTAGGGTATCCCCATTTTAGGTCCTTTTTTTTCTGGAAAGCCACCAAAAATTCCATGGGAAACACATATGAACAAAACAGTTTCAAAAGAATGTGTGAGAGGGTGTCATTTGTTTCTACGGTTCTTACATGCCGATCCTGCCTCCGGCCAGTCGATTATGCGAGAGGACATCGAGGTGGTCATTGGGTTCGAATTCGATTTGGATGAGGTAGGAGTCTGTCGATAGGAACCTTCTGATTTGTGGAAAATAATGTTTTTAGGTCGCCAGCTTCAGAGGACATCCCCTACCTGACCCATTGGGATCACAGCTTTCGGCGATTTGCCGTTTCTTATTGGGGGAAAGTGGTTGGGTGTGTTCTGTAGGGGGGGCCCTCCGAGATGGTGGTTCTCTCCTGGGGGTTCCCTTCACAGCCACAAACAAACAGGGTACCAACTCCACAAAAGTCGAGCCACCCAGTCTTGTCCGAGATGGGAGTATGGACGTGTGCACACGCACCCGAGGGACCCAAGACCGTAAATACAAGGGCTGCTGACATCCCCGGAAGCCTGTGCTTCACCAACTTGAAGGCCCACTTGGGGTCTGTCTCCAACTAGGGAACCCCAGAAATGTGATCGGTGTCCCTGTCGGTGTCGTCAGAAACGCGTCTCAAACGGACAAACACCAAAGGCAGGGGCATCCATGGGAAAAATCCGATCCTTGAAGCCTTGGGTCAGATGGCCGAGTCAGTGACCACTGGTGTTCATTTCCGGGGAGAAAGGTTGGCAAACATAGAGCCACCAAGAATTTGTAAGGTAGAACATATGCAAGCAAAAGTACCAAGGGAATGTGTCACTTGTGCGCGTGTGTGTGCGTGTGTGTGTGTGTGTGTGTTCTGTTGTCTTTATCTTTGCTTCTGGTGCTTTTAAAAGAAAAACGAAGGAATAACCACCAATTTTGAGTGTTTTTTTTTTTTAGACAAACCCATATGTACGTGTATCTGGCAAAACCATCGGTAGTGGGGGCGCCTTGGGGTTAGCAAACTCGGCAAACGCCCGCAAAACCGATAGGGGATCACCCAAAGCTGATGCCCTCTTTTTAAGCTCAAGACATTGAACACCGATAGGGAACCACCCAACTTTGTGTGCAGTGATTGGGGATCAACTCGAAACATGCTATGGCATTTGTTGCGTCAAAACTGGAGCCCTTAGAGCGTCCATGCCTGAGTCGAGCTCATCCATATGCATTGTACTCACAGTGACCCAATTCGGATCATTTCAATGGCAAGCTCACCGATCCGGACGTTCAACGAGCTCATGACAAAAGAACAAACAAAAACTCATGTGGGGTGGTTGAAAGGAAAGTGAGGAAAGGGGTCCCTAATTAGGGTTGGATGCATTCCGGAGAGGGCAAGGCGCCGCCTTTCTCGCCAGGAGATCGACTCCTTGTTCTTCGACGCAAAGCCTTCGCCTTGGATCGATCGAGGGGGATTCTCCGGAGGTCAAGTTGCGAGTAGGTCCCTGTTGGTTGCCAGACCAAAGGCTTGCTGTTTACATGGTGAACTTGCTTGGCGTTCCATCCTTCCCTTTCAACCAACAGGTTAAGTTTTTGCGGGTCAGGGACACCGTTGAAAAGAAGCCACGAAACAAATTTGAAAGGGTGTGGAGTGTGGTGATGTCGACAAGTCCAAGGTCCAAGGGCAGAACCCGGATCTTCCCCAGCCCTTGAGGCTTTGATTGGCTTTGGCCTGGGGTGGGGTTTGGTTTTGCTTGCCTTCCTCGCTCCCTGAGCTCCTGGACTTGGTTTAAGCTTTTCGGGAAGACCATTTTGGCGGTAAGCAACCAGTTTAAGCTTTTTCTGGCCAGTCCAGAAAGTCAGTTTCAGCCTTGGAATGCAGGGGATCTCTTAGGTTGCAAAGAACTGTGACCTTTACGAAGGGGCGCCTCTAAGTCCAGGGGTGAGCAGAGGCCATGGCAAAGCGGCGGATTCCAACGAGGCCACTCTTGAGTTGTTTTGAGGAGCCAAAAGGACACACAATACATCATGTCTTGGTGTCCGGCGTTTTCCTATTTGGAAACAGCAATTCTTATCTTTGGCCAGTGGTGGAACAGGTGTGGTTGCCCTTAATGCATCCTGATTGCCGGTGATTTCTGCTTTTCTTCGTCACTCTGGATGCTTCCTGCAAAAGCGAGATGGATCATTCTGACAGTGTGCGGGTGTGTCTTTTTAGGTGTGGTTTTCCGTTTGGTTTCCCTTGCCATGGAGTACCTTCTAAAACTACTGACCCATGCCTATCCTCAAAAACGTGCACCTGTTGGTTGACGCGTGGATCTGCTGCTTTCGGTCAACAGCCAACAGCTGTGCTTTAATTGCTGATGGCCTGTTCCCTTGCTTACGAGGAGGATCATTGCAGTCTCACTTAATGTATGGTTCTTCTTGGCTAGTATGCTTCCGCTGGCAACCTCAATGTCAAGTGGCCCTAAAAGGGGGTAGCCATCAACTGGAAACCCAAATTGTTGAAATAAAAGCAGTAGTCACAACATGCTCAACGTACTTCCCGAGTTCATGAACTGTAGTCATGTTTCGGGAAGACCATTATAGTGGCAGACCAAAACCTTTAAACATTTGTTGGCCAATGCACTCAGGAGGTGAGGGGCGGCTTTCGGCGACTGCGGTTGGTTGCAGAATTGATTTATATCAACAACTAAGCCCTGGCAACCATTGAAGGGGAACCTTTAGGCGTTAAATGAGGTCGTTCAAACCAGGATCCATGAACTATCCTGACTTTATGACTTTGAGGTTGTTCAAACCACAGGCGTTTAGGCAAGGCGGCGTTTCTGAGGTCTTCCGCCAAGCTCCTGGCAGAGCAGGCGGACAAGCATCGGCCTCAGTGCGTCATGTTTCTGGTTGTATGGCCTGTCTTGGGTTCCAAGCCAAGAGTGTATGTTGAGAATGACTTGTTTTGAGTGGTTTTAAAGGCACATCCCCTGTTTCACATCCTAAGCCTGGGATGCCCCCCTGTAATTCGTGAACCAGGAATTCGGATCTCGAACATGGATGGTGTCCTTCAGATCTGTTTGTTAAGCTCCCAGTTGTTCAGCATTTTCTGAATCGCACTCCTTGAGTTCCAGGACTTCATTGTACTGTTTGGGAGGTGCATTGTAGTGGCAACACACATGTGTTATTTGCCAAAATACTCAGGAAGTGAGGACTGTTTTTTTTTTGGCAGTCCGTGGCCAACTGCCCGAACAGGGTTCGGAGGAAACCCGGCTGACCATCCCCCAATAGCCCATCGTTTCCTTTGCTTGGGATTGTGCGAAGGAGCTTTCAGCATGCAAGAACCCAATGCTTGGACAACAACCTTCCTCTATAACCCAGTAGGACAAGCAAGTCTCTTGCTGCATTTTTTGCAGGTGTAATTACCCTCTTCGCCGTGTACTACCCCGCAAACACTTGAGTTGAGATCCTTACCAGAAGGGTTGGGGGAGTGCTGCGGCCGCGAGGTACATTTCCTGAGTGCACGTCCGCCTTCTCACCTTTTGTCTGCATGACCCCCGCCATGGCAACAACTTTGCGTCAGAAGATCCGAAAGGAAAGCTAGAGGCAGTTGAGCTGTTTGTGAACAGAATGTGACTGTGCAATATGTGGCACTTGAGACATTTGACTCCTTGAGTTGGGCGAGCTATAAGTCTTGTCGGCCTTGGCAGTGACAGATTCACCGCAGTACACATGGCTGTACTTGCAAGCATGACCAGGAATCCACTGAAACCAGTGCGCTCTGCGTGAAGAAATGAACCCGTGGTGCATGCTGGCATGAAGCTCATGCATGTGGTACAAGTGTGTCGCGAAACTATGATAACATTTGGTCCTATAGACCTTTGCTGGGAGCCCCTACACAGCATTATGTTGATTGACGAGTTAAGTACTATTTGGCAACTTGCCCCAGGAAGCCATGCCATGTGTGAAAGATGCCATCCTGCTTTTTCCTGTGAATGCATGGCATTTGTCAGCATATGCGATCACGACGCGCACACTGAATTCAAGAAAACTACCTTGTTTCGAGCATGCATGAATGCGTGTGTGCGTGTGCGTGTGCGTGTGCGTGTGCGTGTGTGCGTGCGTACGTGCGTGCGTGCGTGCGTGCTTTCGTGTGTGCGTGAGTGAGTGCGTGCGTGCGTGGGTGGGTGGGTGGGTGGGTGGGTGGGTGGGTGGGTGGGTGGGTGTGTGTGTGTGTGTGTGCGCGTGCATACATGCACGCATTCATGCATACCGCATGGCCTATGTCTGTCCACAGGTGGATGCCTACTTGTCGTGGATGAATTTCATATGACAACTGGTTTCAGGCTTGTTGTCTTTACTATACACTTGACATTAGCATTGCAATTACAATTGAGCATAGCTAGCTTGCCTTTATGCCCAACACATACAACCATGATACACCCTAAAAGTATATATATATATATGGGCCCAATTTTCAAGCGTTCATCTCAACCGATGGCCATGGGCCCATTGTTCGCTGCGCGTGGATCCTGCCATGTGCGCTTGGTTCCAGACCTTGCTACATCCAGTTGCAGCTCACACAGCTCAGTTGCTACGAGAAGGGGGGTGGGCCCAAAATTCTCATTCAATGGGGTCGAAACCCCCAAGTTGACCATGTTCATTTGAACAAGTCGAGCATGTTTCGTGGCTCAAACATCGTGCAATTGACCGCCCAACCAAAGCAAGGCGCAAACACGTCAAATGTTCAGCCAATCAAATCCGATTGTCTCCAATTATCGAATCATCCCGAACTTGACTCTTTGCTCTGAAGAGTCACCTGCGCTTAAGATTCTGCATGCTTCGGCTGACGCAAGGGCCTTTTTACTTGGCCGATTTTTCGCGCGCGCTAGTGCCCGATGCCCGTATGACGGCCCAAGGCGGGAACTCAGGCCACCTTCACGAAAGCGCCTGTAGGAAAATGCATTTGGCGATGCCGTTTACTTCTTCCCCCCCAACAAGAAAAGTAAGGGCGTTGGTGAGCTATGTGACTCGTGAATACCCACAATTAGTGTGTTTGCTCCCCTCGAAAGCAAAGGCGGTGGCGAAATGGCAAACCCCTTCTGCAACTTATTTGAGGATATTCTGAAGCTGGGAACAGTCTCCCAAAGGGAGGCAGATGGGTCTGCAAGGTCCAGAGATGTGGGGATTTCTGAATCCGCAGGTTGGTGAATCACAGCTATTTGGAGATGGATTCACCATATTGTCTATTCAGCCTTCGAGCATTTGGGCCCATGCCCAAGCCAGGGGCACCCGCCTGAACAAGTGGATCCATTCCGCAGCCGAATTTCGGCAAGCGGCGAGCTACCCAGGATGGAACACACGCTCACACATGAAGTTTCAGTTCTTGGAGAATGTTGTTTTTTGTTTAAGTGACGTTGTGTATTGATATTCTTGTTTGCGTTTGATCGTCCATGAACTTACTGAACTTCACCGTATCTATTTGTGTTTGGGTATGTTTGCTGATCAACTTGTTCATTGGCTGATAAATGCTTTGGTGAAAGATGGTCTCGAGCTGTTCCTTTGTAGGATCACTCGCCTTTTCCCAAGGATGGGATCCCTACATCTCGTTTAGGACCCCATTTACCTTCGGCCCGAGGCGCGCTAGCCATTTTGGGGTTGGAGGGAGAACTACGGCAACTCAACAGTTTGGCTTTGGCCCAACTGCAAAAGACAAGACTCTCCAATAGTCCCCATGTGCGGACTTTCGTTATTTATTTGGTTATTTTGAAGATTCTGGAAACAAATGGGATGTTTTTCAGTTTCAGAAGGGCTTCCTACTTAACAGGCAGTTGTTTTAACCAGCCGCGGGCCTCGGCGAGAAGCTCACGAGCAAGGTTTTCAGTGAAATGGAATCCCGCGACTTCTGCGAGGAAGATCGGGTGGACATGACGCGTGGCGTCAGTTCAGCCGATTCCCTCGCAGTCCAGGATGCCAAGAAGAAGGACAAGGCCGCCAAGAAGAAGGGCTACCACGGGGTGCTCGACCGCTACGAACTGCACGTTGGGTATCGCAAGCGGATGAGCGAAGCCGGCAGGACCTTCAATGACATGGTCACGTATGAGCTTCTCAGCCATTGGTGATTACAGCGCCCAAGCAATCTGCTGTCCATGTGCGTCGCGCGTCTCGCATATATCAAGGATTCCCCTGGATTTATGGCTGAGCCGCTGGCTAGTGAATTGGCCTCAAGGTGGATGATCCTATACCGGGGCAAGCCGATGATCTTCGAGGAGCACAGAAGGTTTATCCTCGAAAAGAACGGCCACAGCGAAACGTCCATTTTGCATGAGCTGGACCGCATTGGGTGCTACAACGAGCAGTCCGCCAAGAGATCCTTCACTTTGCCAAGGAGCTGGCCCAGAACGAGAAAGAGCAAGTTGCCAAAAGCAAGGCCGGACCGGCAAGCCCACGCCTGCCGGAGCCTAGCAACAAACCTTGCGGTCAGGCCTCCAGCAACCAACGGCAGCAGCAGCGTCAGTCCCACGCATCCCGCCAGGGATGGAATTGGGACAGCTGGGGAACGAGTGGGATGAGTACTCCCCATTCGATGCTAAGTTGCGCACCTGGATTGACAAGGATTGACCGCAGCGGCAGGTCAAGCCGCTGGTACTACCAACGATGAGACAGAGTGGATGAAGCCCGTGAGTTCACGACATCCGCAAGGATGATCGATCCGTGTTCAACGTTACCAATCCATTTGCATGTTCAACGGCATTCAAAGAATACTATACGGCGCAAAGCTTCTAACATTTATCATACTGCTTGTAGCCCCTCCACTCCCCTTCGCTTTTACTTGTTTGGCTGTTTTGCAAAAGGCCCCTGTTAAGCGCAGAGGGGTGCGGAAACAAATGGGGTATTTCCAGTTTCAGCATCACGCACACTGCGCTGTGTATGGAGGCTTCCTACTTAACGGGTAGCTGGTTCTGTAGCTGCGAGACAGAAAACTAGTTCAGCCGAGCACAGGCCGGCTGCCGGCATGCGGCGTCGCCTGGAGAAGTGGCGTGGGGCCCGAGAGCGGCGGGCCCAATCGGATCGGCAGGTGCTAGGTGGCTTATCTCAGTATCCGTAGGGTTTGCGCAATGTTCAGGCGAGTAGACAAGACCCCCTCTTCCAATGTCATGGAAGCTGACATCCTTTCTTCTCCTTGATTGGAAAAGGGCAGCTAGTCAACATCGGGTTTGCATACGGGCTAGAGTCAGGGCGTTTCTGGCCGAAGCCAGGTCGAATTTCCAACCATGTCCCAGGTCGTAGGCTTCAGGGCAGTTCCAGCCCGGTCGTTTTGGTATGTTTGTTGGTAGACTTCGCTTGGAAATGAAGCTACAGAAGAAGGCCCTTGTTCTGCCTCAGTGTCAAAAAGGTTTGCCAAAAACTCAGATCTCGAACGAGCATGCTTCCACAGCATACTTTGTCACGAGTAGCAGGCGCGTGCATGATATACAAGGATGTCGTGTCGGCGCACATGATTGAAACGGATGCAGGATGAATCGGTATCACAGTTTTGGGTTGTCTGTGACTGCGCGTGTACAAACAGCTCTGCCGGCTTTACATTTAAGAGGGCCGTCCTAAAGCCCCTGTCTTCGGTTTTTATTGTCGCCGAACAGGGAGAAGTAAAAGTTGTCAAAAGCTGTGCGGGTGCAAGGAGAGCGCAAGTGCGGCCCAAGGGATACGCAAGGTTACAGCTTTGCAGGGTTTCATCCACTGATGTTGCCTAGCTTCATGAAAGGAGTGATATCTTCTTACTGCGCTTGCTGGTCGCGTGTAGGCCACAAGCTGCTTTGCACAGGTTCCTGCAAGAAAATAGGTGCTTCTGCCTTTTAAGACCTTGTTTGTTGTCCAGGGCAAAGAGCTGAAACACGCATGCACACACACGTTTGCAGTTTGCCGACTGCAGCGTTTTCTTCTGTCAGGCGCCAAAGGAAGCCAAAGCTTCTGCGGTAATGACGTCAACAATCAGCAGGAGACACGACAAAACCCGCGCAAGCCGCGCGCAAGCCGCGTGCAAGTTGCGCGCAAGCATGAGAAGTCCCAGCAAGACATCTAGCCATTCGCTGGCTTGGATGTCCTTAGCGGCGCGGTTCAAGCAATGGATAGGCAGCCGCAACATGCACTCTCCTTCTTTCTGTTGGGTCAAGAGTACGTTGCTGGCCTAGAATTGTTAGGAGTAACCTCAGCGGGAAGCGTGGGTTGCTGTGTGAACAGCAAACACACTGCTTAGAAAAGCTTGCGCGCAATCCACACGAATGCTTCGCAAACCGAGGTCAACGAAATCTAGTTTCTGCATCGCTGTGCGCGCGCAAGTCCGCGCAAGTGCCGCGCAAGTGCGGCCCAAGGACCCAATCCCTGGCACAAGAAAATAGGACAACCCCCCAGATGTCCAAGATATGCCAACCATTTGCAGAGATTGCGCATCTCAGGAAGCCTGCAACTGACAACCTGTGCAGGGACACCCGACGGCTTGCCTCAATGTAGGGCAACCAGTGCACACCCGTTTATGAAATGGTCGACACGCGTTTGCCTCATTCGCCTTCATGGCCTATTTTGATTTGGGGGGGGTCCTCCCACTAATTTGTAGGGGCATAGACGCGTTTGCTGCGATGTAGCCAGCTCGAGGGCTTCCCAGAGCAACCCCTGGCATACAAACTCAGTTTGGAGCGGTTCCATTTTGCGGCGGTTCCGGAAACTGTCGCTCTGGTTCTGGTTTGAAGGAAACTTGAGGAAGCATTTGGCTCGGTTGGATTCGTGGATGAATTTGAACGATTCGGTTTGGCTTGGCTCAGACTTGCCGAGCATGTTACCAGAGCTTGTAGGAAGTCGACATAGTTGAAGGGATCCACGCATCTCATGGTGGCAACAGCTCGATTCGTTTTGCGGCTCAATTCGATTTCTTGCGGGGTCAATCTCGGTTCGTACGTTTCGTGTGGATTCTTATTGAATGGAATCTGGGCCCGTGAGTATGCGGCGACCAAGAAGCGCCTTTCGAAGCCTGCTTCATGTGGGGCCACGGCACATAGCTCGCGTGCCTTGCGAGAGATGCACCATGCGAGGTCAGTTCAAGGGTTGAACAAATTAAAATATGATAATGTAGGGCGGCCCGATCCTGTTTGGCGTGGATCGGTTCTCGGATCGGTTCTCGGTTCGGTTCTGTTCCAGTTCGGCTCCGGAAGCTTCCTTCGTGTGAAGAACAATAACTATATACAAGCACTGTGTCAACCATGCTGTGGATAGACAAAATCCCGCACCAGTTGAGATGGACGAAACCCTATGAATGCTGGAATAATCCACCTACCGACGACTGGTGGCCGTTCGGGATTTGTCCATCCACAGTGTCACCCGACCATCGTAATTCAAATTTCTGTCAGCTACCCCCTCACATCCTGCTGAAGGGCAGCGTTTGCGTCTGCCATGTCCCGTTTGGGACCTGGTGGATTGAATCGGCAACATGGCATGGGGTCGGATAAATCTTCTTTGCTTGTTTGCCTGGTCCATTGGTGCCTTTGCTGCCCACTATCGGGTTCAGTTGTTTTTTGAGGGGGACCTTTACTGGGATGCATGTGGGACCCATATCAATGTGCCAGTGCCAGGTCTCAGGGCTGGGTCACTCCCACTGGCCGCAACCAGCCGCGCCAGAGGCGGGTGTCAGGGTGTTTGGGGGCCGGGGTCCGGGCAGCACGGTGGCTGTTTGCACTTCCTTGAACTCACTCCCTGAGTTCCTGGTGTACAAGTCGCATACTATCCAGTGTCAAAGAGTTTGATTCACTACACTGGACTGAGCACTTGGCAATCTAAAAGCTTCTTCCACCTTATCTACTGTTTTCAAAAGCTCGCAAAGCAGCCGCATTTCAAGCAATCCTGCTTTGGATGACTCGAGCGAAAACTCCTAGGGCCTCACGGGGCAGCGAACTGCTCGAGCCTGTGGGAGCAAGCGGCTAAACCTCCGCCCAAGCCAGGTAAGTGTTCACTGAGAAGCCAAGCACGTGATTTGAAACAAATGCATAAATACCTGGGCTGCCCATAAATCCCATACATTCCTGCGCTACTTTGTCAGTCCAATGCAGCGGCCGAACTGCCCACAGCCAAGGCAGCAAGGCAGCGCTGCCAGCTGAATTGCCAGAATGCCCCAAGTCACCACAAAGCCGCCTCCCAGGACAACGTCCGCGCTGCCAGACAGCAATGCACTGAGAGGTTGAAGCTCTTGCTTGAAACTCATGGCAGTTGGGCCGCGCAAAGCATAAAAGAACTAAGCGCCGATGGTGGCTTCCGCAGGGATGGTCAAGGGGACACGCGGTGCCATGCCTGAGAAGCACCGTTTGCGGCTGGATCTCTGGCGCCATTCTCAAAGGCCTCGGTGATCTTTTGTCCAGGCCATCAGGAAGGGTCCGGGCCGGTGGATGATGCGATGTTCCTCAGGCTGTACGCTCTGACGACTTGCTTCGGAATGCGGCTACAAGGGACATAATGCCTGGATGCATGGGAGTGGCTTCTTCATCTGAGTTTACTTTCGTTTGAGCTGTGTGGCATTGATTATCTGGAAGCCTTCGTTCCAAAGTCCACTGTGTTCCAAAATGTGTTCCTGGCTGCTTCCATACCATCGCAAACACAAACACCTTGCTGGAAGCAAAGGAAACCGTTTGTGGGTGGTGTTCAAAAGCAGCATGAGCTGCAATCAGGAATTCCTGCTGCCGGCTGTACATTTGGCAACAACACGCACTTGCGTTTATGCACAACTGCGGCAAGCGTGTCGTGAGTCTGTTCTGTCATATACGGCAGACGACATGGAAACGCTTGTCTTGTTGACTCACCTGTCCATATTCTATCATAGGTTACGTTTGTTGCCAGGATCTTTGAATCTTTCGCAAGTGAAGCTTGCCTGGGGTACTTCCAGGGACGAGCATGGATCCTTTTGAGCGAGAGTTCAGAGAAGAAGCTTTTGGCTTACTTGCATGGCATGCGCCCAGTATTAGCGCGGTGCGGCTGCGCTTTTGCAGTCGATTGCCTTCAACATCAACCAGCTCATTCCCTTTTTCGGTTGGCTGTTGGCAAATAAGTACTCCCACTACCCTGTGGCTGCCAGTCTTGAGGAAGGCGTGGCTGAAATCAGAACGATATAGCCGGCAATTTCAAAGTTGAGCCGGTCCGATGGTTGCTCCGTTCCCATCAACGCGAGCAGAAACCACATAATAACAACCAAAACTGTTCCTGGCTTTGCCTCATTCCCCTGCAAGCTGCATGCGATTTGAAACCCATCAAAATGACGGCCCCCTAACATGGGTGTTTTTTTTCCATGTAGTTTCTCGTTAGAGCCACCTCAGGAAGGGTAGCCTCCCAAAAGGCACGCGCCCGTACGTGCCCCAAAGGGCCATGCAGCTCGGCCAGGACCGCCAGCCGGGAGAAGCGCGCCCTCAGCGCGGAGCTAGGCGAACCGGCCGAATTCGTGGGTGGCCCGACACGTGCAAGTTTGAAGTTCCACGTCCCAAGCGAGTGGTTATCAGGCTGTAGAGAGGGGTCAGCAACATGAGGCTTCTGGGTCAAAACAACTTTTGGGGCGTGGACGGATTTCAGGTTCACCTTGACAGTACAACTTGAGTCGACATAAGATAGCCGAACCCCTCAGACGCATGTTGGCCAACATGCGATTACTGTTGTTCCTGGATGAACAAACTCCTGGCGGATGTTGTTACGGGCTGTTCTCCAATTTGGGGCGACAGTGAATTCAAGCAATGGACAGAGATGGAAAGGAAGCGTACGTGCTTGCTGGATTCTTGTTTTTACTTTTCGGAGGGCTGGGGGGAAACTACGAACCGCCAATCAATTTTGCTGGACCAAGGGGACATGGTGTGTGCGTGTGTGCAATCTTTGTTGTTTGTTGGTATTTGCCGCTTTTTGGAGTTGTTGTCCAAACACGGGCAAATATGGGAGTGCGGGACCAAGGCAAGCTTTGAGAAAAAAGAGAGCAACCGCACTCCGACGTGACACTACGTATAATGGCCTGGATAGTTTTCATTGGATTGTGGATGACTTTAAGATTTGCATCAGTCGTGATCATGGGAGCGTGTAATGTCGGTGCCCGATTAATCAAAGGGTATCATATACAATAAAGTGTTTCCAAAATTACTATCTACCGCCAGAATGCAAGAGGGTACACAATAATCCAATTAAGCATTTTTGCTCTGCACAAATCCCTTTGTCAGCCCTGGTCTTCGCCCAGCCCCAGCGACACCCCGCGCCGCCGCCACCGCCACCGCCACCACCACTACCACCACCAGTACTTTGCTCTCTCTTCCTGTCCAGTACTTCTTTCTTCTGAGTACTGAGAAAGCCAGTAGCACATGGCCACCAACAAAACACTGTTTCCAGGCCGAAAGAAAAAGCACAACTACTAAGCCAATACTAAACTTATTCTAAAAGCAGTACTAGGCCGAGAGGACCGAAGAGGACCGAAGACAGCCAAATCAATACTAAGCTAATACAAACCAATACTAAGCCAGTACTCAAGCAGCACAAAGCAATACTGAGCTAATTCAAACCAACACTAACCATTGCTAAGCCAGGAAGGACTTGGGAAAGGCTGATCTGATTCTCTCTCTCTCTCTCTATGTATACATATATATATATATATATATTAGGCCCCAAGATTGTTTGATGGGGCAGCCTTTATTGTTGAGGCCCCCACAATGTTTTGCTGACAGACCGTCACTGTGTAGACATGCTTGTTTTCACCCCATGTAGCACGGTTCTCCGTTTGTCAGCGGGGTGGGGGGGGGGGTGGGGGGGCATGGTTTTCATACGCACGCACACACACACACACATACAGCTCCGTGCACACGCGCACGCACCCGCCCGCCCGCCCGCCCCCGCCCGCCCGCCATCGCCCGCCCGGCCGCCCGCTACAAGGATCCTCACTAGTATTTGGCAATTATTTGTTGGCTGCTAATCCAACATTTTGGGAAAGTCAGGGTTGTGTTTGTGCAGTGGCTAAGGTGCTTTGGGCAGACTCTGGTTCGGACCACACTCATGCTTTTGCTCAGCAAACCTGCATCATACAATCCAGATCTCCTTTTGCCGTATTCCAAGCTAGCGCTACATGCAGGGCTGCTTCGGGGAAAGTCGAGAAAATGCAGTGCAGCTGTCCTTGAAATCCTGGTGCGGTTGTTCTGATGTCATTCTAACCCTCTGGCGGTTCTTGTGGTGCGCGTGTTGATAGCATGCCGGTTGCTCTTGTAACTTCTTCCAAATGTTATGCATCTTTTACACCTCTTGCAGCTGTTGTGAAATGGTCATGATTAAAAACAAATAATGTGTAGAGCGTGTACCATGTTTAGGAAATCGAAGGAAATCCCACGCCTGCCACGCGAGCGTTTTCAAAAATGCATTTTTGCGGGCACGGCTACCAGTCCGCCGGCATGTTTTAGTATCTCAACCTATGGGTCCCTTTGCAGGCGCGACCCTTGTGGAGCCGGCGTGCTCGGGGACGACGGCCGAGGCGGCTCGGTCTCTCGCGGGCAGCGCATGATTCGAGATTGGGAACCGAGTTGATCAGGCGCAGCATGGGTCGGAAAAGGGTGGTTTGTGGGGTGGGGGCACCCTCCCAAATGTGCCGAACCTCGCCAAACAGAGTGTCAGTTGGGGATGCAGGGGCCGACAGAATTTGCACCTCGAGGTGGCCGGAATTATGGGGAATCCCCGCAACCAAAGGGTCTATTTCCAAACAGTATGCGCATACCCATCTGAATATGGGCTGTTCAAGTTCCCCAACGGGGACCCCCTAGCCCTCTTTTGTTAAACAAAGGTTCACTCCCCTGCACGTCAATATGGAACCCCAACAAAGATATTTTAAGGGGAGCCAAGGCCCTGCCATACGCTCAGGAGGAGGACGTCTTCCACTGCCATACGGAGCCAGTCATTTCCCGCCACGAGGCGAAAGCAAACCGCCAACCGCGGTTTGGCTTGCTCGATCGGCTGGGCTTCGGCTCAATCGGCACTTTGGGGCCCTTTGGTTTAAAGGGAAACCAAAACGGAAACATAGTGTTTTGTTTTTTTTGGGCGGGGGTCCGAAGCCCTAGTTTGACACACCACAGATCCTTTCCTGTGGTTGCAAGATTCGGAAAAAGGACATGAAATCCCGGAGGGGGGGTTAGCCACAAGTGGGGGGGTGGTTGAGAGCTTCCTAGGGTTCCTCAGGGTTTTGTAGGGTTCTTTTTAGGGTTCCTGAGGAAGCCTCAGCGAACCCCCCCTTGAACCACACCCAAAGAGTAAATTCCCCAAAGACAAGGAAATGGATGAAAAACCAAAACTTTGTTCCGGCGATTCAGATGTGGCAAGTGTCCAGTGCAACCCCGTCATTCGGCAGCGGAACCGTGATCGCCTGTGCGCCAGGCTCCCCAGGTGGACTTCCCCATTTCCCAGGCCGGATGGGAGGCTCCAGCAAAACGGAACGGGGGCCGCTTGATGTGGCCCCAGTTGGACGGATGTTCACATTTGGGGGTAGGGAGACCCCGCAAGTCGGGTGTTGTTCCTGAGTTTGCTCTTGAAACCAAGGTGAAACCGGTGATTCGGGTGATTCTGAAGGCGCTGGCCAAGATTCGGGACAACTTGGTATCCCATTTTACTGCGGCACGAGGCGGCATTGTCGGCATCCAAATTTGGGTATGTGCCAAAAAGGGGCAAATTGATGCTTTACAAAATTAGCTGTCGCCATATCTACTTGGCAGGCAGTTGATGGTTGACAGGCCCAAACTAGGCTGATCTTGCGACTCTGGTAGCAAGGTGGTCTTCGCAAGCAAGGCGGGTCAGCCCAAGGTTTTCCAAGCTTTCCAGCCTTTGTTCAAAGACATGCCCCAACCTCCATTCTACATGGAGTTTCACTTTATTCCATCTTCGCTATCGTGGGAAAGACTAGGAAATCAGAATTGGGGACCCGCACCTGTTTTGGGATCAAGAGATGGAGCCTGGTCTTCGGGGGTCACCAAGTTCACGGATGTCAAAATGGAGGTGCTCTAAGATTGTTGGTTTCATTTGAAGTTCCTTTGGGTTTCCCGTTAAATCACCCAAGTCCATGTTGAGGAACCCTCCCAGGGGTCGCAGGAGTTCCAAGGGCTACGTCTTTGGCTCATCGGAACCAGAGACACCACAGAAGGGACCCGTGGTAAAAAGACCATGCTTCATTTCCCCCTCAAAGGAAACAAACAAGGAATGGGAAATATATGGCTGTGGGCCAAAAATATGTACCAAAGTGGAATCCTGTTAAATGGAAACATGGACCAAAACCTGCGGTCTCCTGGTAGTTTAATTTTGACCCATACTCATATGCAGTTGTTGTTCAGTCTCTAAACCCAAGGCAAATTCCATTGTAGAAATAAATTTCGCGCGAAGGGACCTTGCGTAGGTGTTGACAGTGCAGGTTCCGGGTACCAACAAAAAAACACCACTCACCTGGTTCACTGGGTTGTTTTCGTTCATTTGCCACTGAACGTGTGCTCACTTAGGACTTTATCTATTTCCGCTTTTGGAATCTCCAAAAGTGTCAGCTTCAACGGAAACCATCAGTCGATTGCAACTTTTGAAGGAGCAATCTCGCGACCCTGTCCATTGCAGTCTAGTGACTATTAATGACTACGGGGCCATCGAAGACCACTAACGACCTTTCTATTGTCGATACCACAAAAAAGGAGGTTTCTTCTTCGGTTTCCCTTCAACACAACCCACACAAGGGTAAACAGAAAGTCACTCCTTCTGCCATGTTGGCCTTCTCTAATTTTCTCCATGCATTTTCATCAAGCAAGCATTTGATTAAATGCTCGACGCCCGTCTCATCTCCACTTCCCATGGATCAGTTTTTCGCGTGAGGCAATGTGCTGCCTCGAGGTCGGAGAGGCTGGCTGTGACACCTTCGAAGTGGTGTTTTGGCCGCTTGCAAGTTCGGCGAGATTCAAATCTTGACGGGACCCCCGCGAATTTGCGATGCCTGCTAGGGGGTTCCCCATGAAAAACGGGGATCCATATTTTGAAAAAAACAACTTATGAGTACCCAACCCGTGTAATGAATGCGCATCTGCAGTTGTGTTTGTTTAAAGCAATCCACTAATCATGCCCTTGCTCCCACAATGTCATAATGTTTGAAGCTGCCATTCGAGTAAGGCGGCCTTTCCAACCAACAGCATGCAGAAAGACAATTAACGGACACCACTGTAATGCAAGTTTATAAGATCCCGTGATCCCGTCATCCTTGAAGCCAGTGCAAGCTTGTTTCTAGTCCCAGTTGGGGTTGCCTTTTCTGAAGGCATTTTTTGATCGACACTCTTGTCCGAAGCCATTAAGCAACTGTAAGCACAGAAGGTGCAACCCCAATTTGGCCACTCCAGTCATCAAACAGGCCACCAAGAGCCACAAGGAACCATTGCATGCCTATGGTGAGGAAGCTAAAGGCCACCCATCCCCCCAGAACATGTTCTCAGAGGCATTTTGGAAGGTCTTCGTTGGGTTCTAAGAACCTTGCAGGGGGCTACTGTGATGGTAATGTGCGCCTGACCCAAGCCTGCGACTTGACGAGTGCACACCAGGTTCAGTTTCCGACCCTGGCCTCTTCAGTTTGAGTGCGCACTCCCCTTTGAGATTGGTTTGGGAGGAAACCAACCCAACACAGCAGTGGGAGTCAACATCTCCTCCCCCGCTCCCTTAGAAAGGATCTTGCTGGACTTGCCTCTTGGAACCGGCCGTGGGGCTTGGGTCTTTTCGGCTGCCACTTGCCCCAGGTACTTGGATATTGGCCAGGAAGTGGCTAGCCTCTCGGTTTTATGCCACTGACTGGCTTAATTTCACTGAACGGGGGGACTTGTATGTGGGCTGCAGATTACAACCTAGGTTATGTGCAGCTACAAGCTTGGCAATGAACACCCAAGTAACGGCGTGATGACTCAACCCCAAAATGGTTTGGCTCCCTGTGGTTCTCCCCTTAAAGCAACCCAGGCAGGCTGAAATTTCCGGACCCCCGGCCAAGAGTTCCCCCCGCAAAATGGCGGCAGTGCCTCCAAACCGGGACCCAGGGCTTCAGTGGGATAGCCACCAGCCATTAAGCGACATACACATACATACTATATATATTACATGAATGTATGGCCACTGTAGAGCTGGTCCGTGGTAAAAGCGATGCTTTCAAGACGGTGTTGTCCCTGGGCATCTCTGAGCTTTGCGAGGCGCTTCTCGGCTTTGTGCCTTGCACGGTGCAGCTGACCGCGGAGGCGGGAAGTTTTCCTTTCGAGCCTTGACGGTTGGTCGAGGTTCACTCACAACACATAATCGAGTACTAGAATCACACGTGCTATATACATACACAAGATGTGCTGTGGGTTCCTGGAAGACCAAGTTCCTTTTAAAGGGACCTTCTGTCAGGTTCCATGTTAGTTGGTGGGAGGGTAAAGCTCAGCAGAATGCGAATAGGTTGTTCCTCTCTTCTTGCAAGACACTTTGGCGGCGTTTGCGACAAGAAGCCTCTGGAAAGGCTGATGCGCTCCATACCTCTCCGCTTCAAGGTGCTGCCCAACATTCAGCATCGAGACTGGTCTCCTTGTTGGCAACCCACAGGTATCCCTTTCCAAGCGCCCAGCGCCGCAGGAATGGCGTTGTCGTGGATTGGGTCTTTTTTTTTGGATTGGTCCACCCTTTCTGGGCAGATCGCTTTGAGAGCGGGGTACCGCCCGTGCTGGCATGATCGTTGTTTGTGTCTTGGCCTTGCTTCAACAACTTTTGCGGGTTTGCTTTACTTTTGACCAAGCATTGTGCGGAACACCTGTCAGAAGAGTTCACTGTCAGACAGAGGCGCCTTGTCCTGTTTTGTACCGGGGGAATCTTGCCGTTTGGGAATCTCGATCCCTTTTCAGTTTCTTCGCTGTGCGCTCGGTTTGATTCAGGGCCAGCGGCGCTCCCCCCCGCGCACAATTGAGCCCCCAGGCCTTGCACTTGGATGGAGCGGCTTGGGCCTCGGTTTCAAGTTTGGGGTTGAAACGGCCAGCGTCTGGGCGAATTAGTTTTTACTAAGCCTCTTTCTCCGAAGCCTCGAATTACAGGAGGTTGTTCCATATGTTGTTTTTCTACCTAAAGTAAGGGTTGGTTCCCGGCGACATTTGAAGGGCCAGGGTGCCACTGGAATCGACTGACTACGCCTCTCCATCTATCATGGGAAAGGTCCTTTTTTGAGGCTTGATTTCTTCCAGGGGACCCCTGATCAGAAAAGGCGACCAAAAGAAACGAGAAGGGAACAATGAAGAACTTTTCCACGGGGACTCAGTTGCGCCTGTTTTGATGTTTTACGGTCGTGGTTCTTGGTCTATGGAGCTATTTCCAGGTATTTCGGGCAGGTGAGTCTCACTCTGGTTCAGATTGGCAAAAGGGATGACGTGCGCCAAGTGGGTGCATTTTTTCTTAGAGGAACCCTTTTTGGTTGGCTTTAAAGGGCAACCAAAAGCAATCCAACCATTTGTTGGGGGTCACTCGAAGAAAACACACATCCAATTCGTGGCTTGCTTGTTTCTGAATGCGTTCTGAATGTTGGTGTCCGTCCAACGCCATCCAAACAAGCGGCTTCCTCATTTCGAGGTGAAGGCTCCTGCCAATGAATCTAGGCAAGCCACAAATTAGGCGAGGGTGCTTACCTTGCTTGATTCCTTTTGCTTGCTATTCAATGGGCAAGGGTAACTCGGGCCTCCAGCGTGCTCATGCTGCAAGACACGAAGGTCATGCGGTGGCCTGGCCTTTGGCTAGCTTTGCGACAGCTGCAACAGCTGCAACAGCTGGCACCACATAGCAGAACAAGCAGCCAGCCAATTGTGTCTCACTGCTAAAACGCCCATAGTTGTTTTTGTTCTCTGAAGAAGACCAGGAAGAGATGGGTCATCATTGGATTTTGTCCAGCTCCCCCCTATTTCCTACCCAGCTCATAGAAGCAGCCACCCCAGCAAGCGGTCAAGCCAGTTCTGTCAAACCCTTTAAAGCCTTGGTGGATTTGGGATCCTTGCGGTTCAAAACATGGGTGTTTTTTTGATGGTACCCCTTTTTCGAAGGAAACCAAAGAAAAAACACGGTTTTGGGGGCTTCCCGGCTTCCCAACAATTTTCAAGGCGGCACACGCCAACAGGTTCTAGAGGAACCGGCATGCGGGGCTCCTTTTCGTTTGAACCTCACAAGAAACTGAATATCTGGCAAGCAAAAGGTGAATTCGAGTGGTGGCATGGTTTTGTGTTTGTATAAGCCTCAAACTGGAAGACACCTTGCGTATTCCTTCACGCCCCCAAAGGCTCGCACCGAACATCGGCCCTCAGAACGGACAGATCTCCCCCGACTCCGCCTGCAACGCAGCCCGGGCGCGATGCCGTCCTTCGAGCAGCGCCTGGCGCAAAGACAGGCCACCTTCAAACGAGGCGCCGGCAAGGGGGGCAACATGTCAGGGATGGGTGCAATGCTTTGCCCTAAAGACCCTTATGTCGGGGTCTTTGAGAGGTCACAAGCCCCTTTCTTTTTTTGGGCCATAGGGGTCCTGGGAAGTATTCCCTGCAGGCGTTCGCTCTGATCAATTTCAGGCTGCGCCAACGACATGCAGCAGAGGCTTCGGGAGCTCGCGGCGGAGGTGTGGAGGCCGGGATCGAAGGTGTGAACCCGCCATGCCCGTTTGCCAAACAGGTTGCTGTAGAACTTCCGACAAACGTGATTACAAAAAGCAGGACACCAACTACTGAGAAGTGTCTTTGCCGCATGTCGACAAACACTGATATGGGAGCGTAAGATTAGAAGCTGAACTTCTGTATTTAGGATCTACAGGGATTCATCTGAGTCTCACATGAAGCAGGATGCTAATACACTGGCAGCAGTATGTATAGACTGCCTACATGCCGAATCTACCGTTTCCACCTGTCACTGCCGCGCTTTACCCCAGCGGTCAGCAAGTTGTGCCTTTATTCGTTGCATGACTGAGTCATTCCCCTTCCAGGGTTGTCCTTTTGCCTTTTGCCATCTTGTTTTGGGAAACAATGCGAGTTCTTACTTTCAAAAAAATGCGGATGGCACGGCACAAAGTTCTCTCGTGATCCGCAAGCTGCGGTGAAGGATCCGTTCATAAGACACCTGCATTAACATTTGTAGATTGACACACCCTTGATGGAGACGATCAAGCAGAGTGTTGAGGTATTGTTTCGCAGGTCTTCCATGTTAAGCCTCCCAAATGGTGGTGAACCCGTGGTGTTTCCTCAGAGTCCTGTCGCTCGAGACTCGGGAGAGGCTGCCTTTCAGTTGAAGCTCACCGATTCGGGGGGGTAAAACGAGGGCGTTCGTCTCGATCTGTTCCTTATTTTCATTTGTGTGAATATTCCAGCAACACTCCTCCTGAAATTTATTAAGACAATCGGTCAATTTGTGTTTTTGTTTGTTTGTATGTTTCCTTTTTGTTGGGGGGTCTCTAACTTCCCGGACATGTTCCGGCGCGTTGCTTAGACTGGGCGCTGCATTGCCACATGTTGAATTTCCCTTTCACAAAACCAGCAGGGGACGTGTATTTTTGTCGGAACCTTCCAGACCCCCTGTATTTGGTACAAAGATTCCTAGTCACTATCCATAGTAGGTTCGACTCCTCTAGGCATGACCACGAGCAGAAGCTGTGGAGCCACCGGAGGGAAGGCGGGGGGGGGACACACACGGTGTGAAGCAACCACACTCAACCACAAAATCGTGGTAAATTGTGGTAAGGTGGGAGGTTTCCTTGTTTCTTGAGTTACAATATTTAGAGCATCCACGGATGGCATGAGCCAAAACACCCGTGTTCGTGGGCCTTGCAATGGCTTGCAGTTTTTGCTAGACCCGTCCCGTCCCAGCCCCCCCCCCCCCCCTGCGCACCCTCAACAGGCCTCACATGGCCTTTCAGCTGGGCGAAAGTAAATTGGCATTCCAACCCGTTTTGGTATAGCAGTCCCTTTAATTTCCCATAAGGGAATTGTGGCATCTACTTTCACCCTGGTGCATTTGGGTCGTGGGTCGTTATTTGGATCAGAGCAATGGAAGTGGCTCGGTCTTCCCCATTGAGTTGCTGTGGTGGGTAAACTGAGGTAGCCGTCCAGAAGCTGCCCCCAGTTGGCATTTAAGTTCTCTTGGAATGGGAGGTTCCTGGGCACCTTCATGGTACAAACCGCTTGTTTCTTTGACATCTGTTTGACCTTTAGATCCTGTTGGTGTTTTTAGTTTGCAACCGTCAATACAAGGCCAATCGCTCGATTAGCACCGGCCATTTCCAACCAAACAAGCAAGCGTCAAGAGGCTCGTGAGTCCCTATGCATACGGTTGAACAGAGTACTTGCGCCCCATGTCAAGCTGGCACTTACAGTCACTTGCATCCACGAGCTATTACCAGTTGGTTGTGACGCAAATCAGGACTTGGTCCTGGTGCTTTGTTGAAACGGGTCCAACAATAAAGTCCCCTTTTAGGATGCTGTTGCAATTTTGTCAACCCACCCCCATACTACCCCCTATCCAGTGTCTTCCTGCCAAAAAGGGTCGGTAGTTTGGACAGTTTGCGTGTTCCTCGTGGCTCATCGGTGTCTTAGCTGCGCGTCTTCCGTCTTCTTTGTGCGTCGTTCTTGGTGCTGTCCATACTAGCTCCTGTTCTCTTCTTGATTCTTTGGAGACACATTCTGCGATAATGAGGGAACCCTTTTGAAGTGATGAAGAAGTGGGAATGGATTCGAATCCCAGCTTGGTACAAGAGGGGCCCCTTGCCCATCAAATAACATGAACCTAGAATCTAAAGACAAAGTCTGAGGTTCCTTCAAAATATGCCGTATAGAATTGTGGGCCCATATTGGATAGAGATAGGGAAACTCACTAAGTTTCTCAAACAAGACCCACAAAGTCACAAAACTCACCGACCTTTTTCTGGTCCTGTTGGGAAAACAAGTCATTTTGACCGTGGCTCATTGGAGTTTATGGTTGTGTGTTTCCACTTTGTCGAGGGGCAAGTTCCGTGCGTCACACGAAGCTGCCGATTCTGCCGTCGATGACCTGCCCCAACCTGTAGGTCTAATATTTAACCGCAGTTTTTAACTTTGACAACACGATAGAGTCAATATAGTGGACCCAGTTGATCACCTCTCGGTGCAGTCGCACAGGCGAGCACTACGAGATGGAGGCCCAGGAGGGTTCATGGGTTTGTTCCTGCATGGCGAACAGGGCCCATTTCTCTTGAACAAAGTTCGCTTACAAATGCATACTCCAAAAATACACGCGCGCACACACGCACACACCTTGATTGGGGACTTGTTTTGATGGAGGGTACCCATTTGGATACGCATTTTCGGGTGGTTTGAAAGAGAATCATTGGGACACCCACCGATTCGGAGCTACTTTATTTCATACCACACCTTCATATAGATGTCTTGGGATGTCTTGGGTTACTTGTGGCTTTTGGGTGGGGGGGTGCGTGGATTGTGTTTTGTGCTTGCACCGACATCAAAGCTCTAGGGTCCTACTTGCCTACCCTCATAGATTTATGCTGCATATATATATATATATATGGTACCCCCCCCCCCTGGAATACTCAGGTGTTTGGCAAGAAATTGACATGTTGGCTGTAAAAATGCATGCAAAACACACGTTCCAGCTTCTAAAAATGAGGCTCCAAAAATGCACTCCGTTTTAGACTTAAATTCTAGCATCGGTACTTAGGTCAATCCAGGATGTGCTAGCACGTGCTAGCACATCCTGGATTGAAGATTGAAGATTGAAGATTCTGAGACCACTTGTTCTGGAAATCTTCAATCTATCCTTAGGACAAACTGATATGTGCTAGCATGTGCTAGCACATCCTGGATTGAAGATTGAAGATTGAAGAATCCCAGAGAGAGTTGTCAGAGAATCTTCAATCTTCAATCTTCAATCCAGGATGTGCTAGCACGTGCTAGCACATATCAGTTTGTCCTAAGGATAGATTGAAG